TCTGCTTTTAACAAATGAGCTGCATGTTCATTTAGTTCCAGGGAAAAAAACGATAATTAGCGTATTAGGCTGTGCAGCCAGTAAACCCTATACAGTATGCCATAGAGGAGTTTCTGACACAAAACCAAAAATATCTCCTATTCCAGCCGAGCTCTCATTAGTCACTGGAGTTGTTATTAATGTGCTTAAGCCTTTCTACTCAATCCTCCATATAACCCGCGGCTGTAGTGATGGTAAAGAGTAACGGGGAAAACCACAAATGGCACTTTCCACGAATATGATACAAAATAGGGCCTGATTTTTTTTTTCTTTTTTCAACAAATGGTGCTAAAGGGGATAGTTCACCCAAAAATGAAAATTGTGTCATCATTTATTCATCCTGATATTGTTCCAAAACTCTATGAGAACTTCTTTCTTCTGTCGAACATAAGGTTTTTGGTCAACAAAAAATGGTTTGATTACCCACATTCTTTAAAATATTTTATTTAGTTTGTTTGTTTATTGATTGTCATAAGATTTAAAACAAAAGGATGAAAATTAATTTTTGGTTGAACCATCCCTCCGTAAACCTTCAGAAAATCATGACTGTCAACCTAAATTATATACAAATTGTCATATTTTGTATTCCTTCATGTTAGCAGATATATGCAATCTTGTTACCAAAATTTGGGATTTGCGAACCCTAATATGTGAAAACTAGGCTAGAATGGGTATTATCACAGTTGAAAATTAAGCCTAAGTAAAGCCTAAATCATTCAGTTGTGGCTACATTTTGGTTTAGCTAGTGATACGTTTATATTGGTTTAAATTGTTTGATATAGTCAAGTCAAATCCTATGATATAGAAGAGGCCAAAACCTCTAAAACTAGCTACTTTTCATGCTAAGTAAATTTTATGTTAGATAATACTATCTAACAGATCAGAGAATAAAAGCATGGTGTTTGTCTTTCTACTGCTTTTATAAAAGTCATAGGCCACCAAAGTGTACTGCATTTGTGGAAGAAGCCACATTACAGTACATTTTTGTCCAGACGAGTAAAAACGTCTACCTCAGAATGAGCCTAACAGATACTAAACCTTAGGTTAGATGAAAGATTTTAATAGTAGTCTTGCCCTTGACACGTTTACTCTACAGCCCTATTTCATAACACAATTTAACATGTTCTCAATGTTCTTCCTCATGCTGCTCTCTCCGGTGGAAAGCATGTTGCCATCTTAAGTGCCTTTCCATTATTTTAAAAGCCCAAGTGTAAAATCGACCCTTCGATGGATGAGGGGATGGATGGATGGATGAACATATTACCCACAAGACATAGCATGCCGTCACATTTCTCTCAAAAAACATCAAATTGACAGGAAAGCTGCTGGAAAGTGAGAATTAATTTGTTTAGTGATGACAACCGAATATAAAGGTGTAAACAGCAGCTGGTTTTGTCTGAATCAAGTACAGTGGCATGCGAAGGTTTGGGAACCCCTTGCAGAATCTGTGAAAATGTGAATAATTTTAACAAAATAAGAGAGATCATGCAGAATGCCTGTTATTTTTTATTTAGTACTGTCCTGAGTAAGATATTTTACATAAAAGATGTTTACATTTAGTCCACAAGACAAAAAAATTGCTGAAATTATTAAAATAACCCCATTCAAAAGTTTGGGAACCCTTGGTTCTTAATACTGTGTGTGGTTACCTGGATGATCTACCACTGTTTTTTGTTTTGTGATGGTTGTTCATGAGTCCCTTGTTTGTTCTGAACAGTTAAACCGAGCACTGTTCCTCAGAAAAATCCTCTGTGTCCTGCATATTCTTCAGGTTTCCAGCATCTTTTGCATATTTGAACCCTTTCCAGCAGTGACTGTATGATTTTGAGATCCATCTTTTCACACTGAGGATTTTCTGAGGAACAGTGCTCAGTTGAACTGTTCAGAACAAACAAGGGACTCATTAACAACCATCACAAAACAAAAAACAGTGGTAGATCATCCAGGTAACCACACACAGTATTAAGAACCAAGGGTTATTCACATTTTCACAGATTCTGCAAGGGGTTCCCAAACTTTCGCATGTCACTGTATGTTAGATTTTCATTACATACAGTGTCATGATCAAAAAGTGACGAGTCCTTTGATATGTAAGCTTTGTATTGCCAAATCCTGAGGGTAATTGGATAACTAGCCTTTATAATTGAAATCAGAAAAATACAAGGAGTAATCTTGACCCTCAGAAGGAAAGTTGGCTTTAAATGTATCATAGAGACTGACCTGACAAGTGCAGACACTGTGACATCTACTGCAAGTTAGACCTGCTATTCAGGTGACACATTTATCATCGATCTTTCCGTTTGGCTGTTGTTTTCTGGTGATTTTCTGTAAGGGAGCTTCCCATAACGGCCTTCACTGTGTAAGAACAAAACATAAAAGAGGTTTCATCCATTTTGCAGCCAGCACACTCATTCGTCTTTCAGGAATTATTAAACATATCACTGAATTATCAGTACACATATGATATCTCAACCTTGACATGCTTTAGCATAAATGTTTCTCATTCATACATTTGTGCTCTGCTTTCTGTCATTTCCCTTCTTGCCGCTGTTTCCAATGAATTAATAAAACATGCTCTGTCTGTGTAAAATGTCCGTCAAAGGCCTTGTGTTAAAAACTATTTAAGGTGTTCACAATCCCAATGGCCTTGCAAGACTGTAAAGCAACCGTAAAGCAACCGTACAAAGTGCAATATAAAGTACAAACACTGTATAATGTCTCTAGACATACACAATTTTCATTTATGTAATAAACTACTATACACTGTTATGTATACTGTTTGGAGTCAATATGATTTTTAAAAAAAAAAGTATTTTATTCAATAAGGAGGTCTTAAAATAACTAACAAAAAAATGTATTTCAATAAAATCTATAACTGTTTTCAACATTGATAGTAATAATAATAAATGTTTCTTGAGCAGTAAATTAGCATATTATAATGATTTCTGAAGGATCATGTGACACTGAAGACTGGAGTATACATACTGGTAAAAAAAAATGTATAGCCTGAATGCACTGTAAGTCACTTTGGATAAAAGCGTCTGCTAAATGCATAAATGTAAATGAGTAATGGTTGCTGAAAATTCAGCTTTGCCGTCACAGGAATAAAGTACATTTTAAAATATATTCAAATATAATTTTTTTTTTAATTGTAATATTATTTCACAATATTACTGTTTTTACAGTGTTCTTGATCAAATATATTGCAGTCTTGGAAGGCATAAGAGGTGTCTTTAAAAAAAAAAATCCTACTGACCTAAAACGTTTGAACTGTAGTGTAAAAGGGGTTATACTGGTTTTATGGGCACATGAAACGTTGTTCCAAAAAAAGAAAAAGGTTTAGTCAAAATATGACTATATTTCATCCAGACTCTCCATCTCCCAGAAGCTAAAACTCCATAAGCTTAATTAAAACTTGAGAATCTTCATTAGGGCTGGGAACCGACAGGCCTCATATGATCGGATTATGAGATTTGCTTTGGATTCACAAAATGAAACCAAATGTCTCGTTTGAACTCAGGAGGCTTGTTCTAGTGTCTCTGAAATATTTGATGGGAAAAACTAAAGCAGTTCATAAAAACAGTTCTCTGTGAAGACTGAGAGACAGAGACCATCGGAAAATACAAAACAAACAAACATCAAGGCTCATTATCATAATGTTTTGTGATGGTGGCATTATAATGCCACATTTCTGGGGTCTGCATCAGGATAAACAAAACTATTTTTGCACATTCATAACCAAAATGATCCTTAAGTTCCTCATCAAGGGAATGACATTAACAAACACTCAAGTATGTTGAGAGACGAAGACTGGAGTATACATACTGGTAAAAAAAAATGTATAGCCTGAATGCACTGTAAGTCACTTTGGATAAAAGCGTCTGCTAAATGCATAAATGTAAATGAGTAATGGTTGCTGAAAATTCAGCTTTGCCGTCACAGGAATAAAGTACATTTTAAAATATATTCAAATATAATTTTTTTTTTAATTGTAATATTATTTCACAATATTACTGTTTTTACAGTGTTCTTGATCAAATATATTGCAGTCTTGGAAGGCATAAGAGGTGTCTTTAAAAAAAAAAATCCTACTGACCTAAAACGTTTGAACTGTAGTGTAAAAGGGGTTATACTGGTTTTATGGGCACATGAAACGTTGTTCCAAAAAAAGAAAAAGGTTTAGTCAAAATATGACTATATTTCATCCAGACTCTCCATCTCCCAGAAGCTAAAACTCCATAAGCTTAATTAAAACTTGAGAATCTTCATTAGGGCTGGGAACCGACAGGCCTCATATGATCGGATTATGAGATTTGCTTTGGATTCACAAAATGAAACCAAATGTCTCGTTTGAACTCAGGAGGCTTGTTCTAGTGTCTCTGAAATATTTGATGGGAAAAACTAAAGCAGTTCATAAAAACAGTTCTCTGTGAAGACTGAGAGACAGAGACCATCGGAAAATACAAAACAAACAAACATCAAGGCTCATTATCATAATGTTTTGTGATGGTGGCATTATAATGCCACATTTCTGGGGTCTGCATCAGGATAAACAAAACTATTTTTGCACATTCATAACCAAAATGATCCTTAAGTTCCTCATCAAGGGAATGACATTAACAAACACTCAAGTATGTTGAGAGACGAAATGTCTTCCAGCTAGTGGGTTCATTGTGCAGATTCTGGATTATGACTTATTATATTCACACAAGAGCTAAAGTCATAATGAAGTCAGAATGAGACAATGTTTTCACACCATTATCATCATCATTTCAAGGAAATATAAACATGTATTGGCATTTAGCTGTTTGTTTTTATATCAAACTTCAGTTCCTCAATGCATTTCTCATTCCATATAACATACGTTAAAACAAAGCAAAACAAACAAAAATCTAAAAAAGAAAATAAAAATATGAAAAATGTTATATGGATATATATTTTGAATGGAATTAGAAATGCCTTTACTTTGAATTGTTTTTATTCTGATACTGTTAGTGCTTTGTAACATTTATAAAACAGTAAAAAATAAATGAAACACCATCTTGAACAGTGTCCAGATCAGTGTGACAGATGTCCTGATGGTTCGCAGTCTCAGCATGCAAAAAACAAGGCAAACAGAAAATACATCCCAGCTTTAGTCAGACATATCAAACTGGAATAGAAGGAGAGAAGAAAAGTAACTGGTAGAGAGATAGAAGATGAAGGAAAATGTGAAGATCAGCCATCTGCTTTCAGTTTAATATTCTGATTGGATGAGTCCATGGATGACAATTAGAACAAACAAGTGAAAAACGTTGAGTCAGTGATCCATGGCATCATCTTCTTCATCACTGCTTTGAATAAAATCATCCTCAATGTTGTCTACAGATGGTCCAGCTTCATCATCATCAGCCCCATGCTCTTCACCACCCAGCTCTGCTAACAGCTGCTCCGTATGCTCAAACATGGGTGCGTCCTCACAGCGCAGCTTCACATAGAGCTGCAGATTAGAGAAAGAGAGTGAGAAAAAAAAACACCGATCTTATGATTATTATCAGAAGAATAGTGGCAGTGTTTGTTCGGCGAGTAAAGAGAAATCTCAGCTTTGACTCCAAGGCTTGGCATGTTTTGCAGTGTGAACAAGTCGCCACTAAATCAAAACTCTCTTCTCCTATATATTTCTCTTTTATCTAACTCCTCTTTTCGCCATCTTTCAAGGACTTTCATCTCTCTTTCTCTCCCTCCGTCTTTCTTCGAGAAGGTCCAGTGCCAGCGAAGTCAGCTGGCAAATTCCACAAATTAGTGACTCCTTTCCAAGCACAAACGAAGCGAGTTCTGCATCAGTGGGAAATTGTCCAGCAAGTGACCGAGTGCTTGCCAGGAGAGGAAGAGAATTCAATCCCCCCACTGTCTCAACTCTTATCACTGTAAAATATACCCTGAAAGAACATGATAAAAAAGCAATTCTCGATGTGACTGCAAAACAATATATCGCCCCACACTTTCTCCCTTTGCTTAATATAAGAACACTGGCTGGGGATTTCATCCTGTTTCAGCAGGGGAATCAGTACAATTAATGTCAGAATGTTTTACAGTTTCAGTGCAACTGCCAAATGTGAATAAAGGGATGCACGTGATTAATTAATGAACAATCAATTAAGCTTAAAAAGTCAGTTAATTTCAGCACAAATACATGCAAGCTGATGTAAAATGAAGAAGCTCAACATAATGAGAGCTGGAGAAAAAAAATCTCCAAATAAAGACTGCATTCACTGCAAACAAAGTGATAATGCATTAAATAATATGTCAACAAGAAATGCTTACAATTACACCATAATTAGTGTAGCAGTACGTTATGCCAGCCTGGTCTCATCATTGTTTATTCTTAGGTATTATTACGTAACGTTTAAGAGCACATAATGTACATTTTTGTTTTGTTTTTATTGATGAAATGTATAATTTGGACGTATTACAACGTTTAAAAAGTAAAAATTGCTATGCATTTTTAGCTAAAAAACGTAAAATATGTTTACAACTCTTTTATATCAAAAGATATTTGTATCAATGCATTTTTATAATTGTATTGATAAGGGATTTCGATTTTAGACCTTTTAACCTACCCCCAAACCTAAACCTACCCATTTTATAGCGAATATGAAAAGATAAACTGTAAAAGACTGAAATATGCAGGGAAATTACCATTTTAGTGGCAATAGTATTAAAAAGATATAGTCGCTAATCCCCCTCCTACCTCTAAACCTAACCATATCTACTCCTTAAAAACATGTACAGTGTAAAGAAAAACATGACAGAAAGGTAAGTTCAATCACAATAATTTATTTATTGCAAAAATATCAAAAGCAGTACCAAATGTAAACAGATATAGCAGCAAAACAGATATAGCATCACTTTAACATTGAAGTTCACATAGTATGCTACACTACCTCCACTGGTGTTACCAGGGACTCAAGGAGAGCCTCTACACTGACATCCTCCTCACATGTCCTATTTTGACTGAAATTGCTAGAGGTGTCCCTGTCCTGGATGTAAGGCTCCAGAAAGTTTAGAATGGACATAAACTTCCACCTCCGATTGCCTCCTGCTGCCCCTGAACCTGACCTCTTTCTCTTCATTTTTCTCTCTTTTATATGTGTCCCTCAGGTACTTCCACTTTTTACGACATTTTTCTACTGAAATTTATATGGACAAAAAGATTAGTCCGTTTAAAAAACAAAACAAAAACAAAACAACTGAAGCAAGAAAAATATTCTGACTGCCAGACATTAACATTACATATATACATTTTAACAAACAAAATGGTTTGCAAGCTATAGGCTACATAGCTTTTTCCTTATTTTCTAACTAGTTGTCTAGGTCAGTGGTTCCCAACCCTGGTCCTGGAGGCACCCCAACACTGCACGTTTTGCATGTCTCCTTAATCAAACACACCTGCTTAAGGTCATCAGCTCATTAGTAGAGACTTCAAGACAACATTCTTCAACTCTCGGCACGAGAAAAAAACGGCCGAACGCTCAGTGCGAAAAAGACGCTCAGCGCTCGGCACATTCCTGGCGTTTTAAAAAATGCGGCGCTCCCATTGAGAACAACTGAAAAAATACGCTAGCCGCGGGGAAAAACACTTTGGTGGACACAGGGCCTAAATGCTGCGATTTCAATATTCATAAGAATTTATTTAAGGATCATAATTAATTAATTAAGGATTAATAAGTCTGTAAAGTTTACATTTTAGGTGTCGTCAATACGTCAGTATTGTACATTAAAATGCTGAAAATACATCAGTATCGTGCGTTTTAGTGCCTGTGAAAACGTGTGTTGTTATTTGACTTAAATTCCAAGTGTTTCAATGCAAATCATGACCAGTACAAGGTACAGAAAGACAAATAGTAATAATAATAATAATAATAATAATAATAATAATAATAATTAAAATAAATAAGTTCTGAAATTAAAAAGTTAGCTATGCACACATTTTTTGAAGTCATCCACATGCATTTTACTGTATCAATTTATCAACTGATATTTAATTTTAATGAAAAACAATTATGAAAATTCCTAAAATATTACTTTAGTACTGAAAGATTGAACTGTATGCACATTGTGTATTATTATTTGAAAAACTCAAAGTTAAAAGAATTGGTTCAAATTTCACCTTCCACAAAAGCAGCATATTAATTCAAAAAGACTGGATTTTCTATAGAATGCATGCGATTACTTATTACTAGTAGTACAGAAAGATAAATAATCGGAATAAATAAAATAAAAAGTAATTTTAAAAAGTAATCTACATGCTACTGTATTAATAGTAACAATGTATCAATTGAGAGTTCATTTTAATGTAAAAATTATGAAAATTCGTGAAGAATTACTTGAGTGAGTACTCAAAGACTGACGGAAACCAGACATGAATACGAAACAGTCTTAATGTGATATAAATGCGGCTAATGATGGCAAAGCTAAAAAGAGCACAGGCGTCAGACAGACTTGCACCTCGTCAAAAAGCCATGCAGAGAGCGTACAAACTTCCTCAACTTCAGAAAGCGTCATGTGAGAATGACTAATGCACACTATTTTTTCTAAAGGTCACTCCTTATGAGGTATTAGCAGTGCGTTTGTGGTACAGCCCTCTCTTCAGTGAACTGTAATCATGCAGACGCTACTCTAACAACCAGACTTTAATTAAGAAAGCACATTTCTTATTAATACTTGTAAGAGAAGTCATTTAAAAAGCTGGAGAAAGTGACCCCACAACTTATCAACCTCTCCTTCACTGTTCTTTCCTCTCTTTCCTTCTTTTTATTTAATGAGTTTTAGCACCACAGAACCTTATTTAACTCCCTCAGGAGCGAAACCACAGAGTCCTTCACACTCGCAGACTAACCAGGTCATCTCACACACACATACTGTCAGTGGGCAGCCCGTTGCTCCCTTATATCACCCTCAGAGCCGTGGGAACGGTCGCTAAGCAACAGCGAGTGGCGACAGGGCTCTCTGGGCCTCGTGGGATCTCATTTACGGACCGATCATAAGACCTCAGGAGAGTCTGAAACTCCTACCTGCTCTACAGAACTGACCTTCACACACACACAAACATTAAAACCGTTGGCCACACAGGTTTAGTTAGACCCATGAGGGCATTTTAACACAATGTTGATGTGTGTGTCCATGTACTGTAGGGCCTTTTCGCTGCCGGATATCAAGGTTAATTGTGATGATAAAGCAACGCTTAAACATTAAACTCACACTGGCTCACAGGACCGGAACATTTTAATGTCTTTTGAATGATTGGTTATATACTGGTTAATGCATAACTGGAGTGGATAGCTACATCGGATGGTCATTGCAAATGTTACTGTACATTTAATTCCAGGTTCAGCGCTCAAATTAATAGATCAATTTGTACCAAAAGGACCAACATTTCTAGGTAAATGTAACATGCCTGTAGCGTCTGGACCAATCAAAAACACAATTTTTCATTTGATTTAACAAATCAATTATTCATTAGATTAACAAACATTCACAGACCCCTCACCCAATAAACATACTGGGTGCCAAGTTGTCTGTGAATGAGGCCCAGGACCCTGGTCCCCATGGCAACCACGACACCTCTGCTAGACCGGATCCATTTACGACCTAATGGCATGTTGAGAATTTCCCCTCGCACTACTCTTTCATAAGGAAGAGAGACAGTGCACAGTAGAAATTGACTCTTTTCTGATTAATAAATAGGAAAACCTTTCTTTGAATGAACACACATATCCTTCAGATCATGGTGTATGTTGTCTTTGAGATATTATACTGTTTTATGCAGGCTTATGATCAAAACACTCCTGATTCGGAGAATAAAAACACACAATTTACGAATCAGAAATCAGCACAGACAATTTTAAGCTCTTACATGAAGTATTATAATAAAGAAGAACATTTTAAATTGTATTTTGTTAAGCGTATTCATTAGCTCACTCGCATTAGTCACCTAAAAAGTGCTTGAGTGATGGAGCTTGGAGAAGAAAGAGAAAGGAAGAGAGAAATCAGAACAAATCATTCATAAAAAAAGACCTGCAGTGCATTAAATTGTATATAATCAAATAAATGCAGTGCAAATATGCATGACAGAATGATAAAATGACAGATAGAACGACGGACGGATGGACGGATGGATATTCAAGCACATTCAGTCAATGGATGAAATGACAGAATGATGGATGGATGAAACAATAGATAGATTGATAGCTAAATAGAACAATAGATAGAATGATGGATGAATGGATGGAACAATAGACAGACAGATGTTGTGGAAAATGCCAGAAAGGATTTAAAAACAGACCTCAATCAAGATCTTTTGACAGAATTTCATTAAGTAAGGTGACATACAGTATCTGCACACATGGAAAGACCTGTCTCCTCTGATAGGAAAATTATTACAATGCCTTAAAATTCAAATATTTGCAATTATTTTTGTGTAAATATATCTCTAAACTT